CTCATAGTGACCTTCTCTAGTGTTTCTAAGGCTGCAAATGTCTGTAGGATCAGAAAGCCTCATCTTTCTCTCATGGAGCTGCTGCTGGGCTCAAACTGCCGACCCTGTGGGTTGCAGTTCAGTGCTTAAACTATGAAGCTGAGAGGACCCAGGAAAGTGGAGTGAGGCTGAACTGGAGTACAGCCTGCTGACAAGAAGCAGTGAGGAGTGCATCCTTCTCTCCTTTTTCTACCCCTGCCCCCAATTTGCATTACTGATTGTACCAATCACACATTCACTGGATTAGCCAACTTCAGGTTTAAAAATGCAAATATATCCCAGAAGAAATTACATTTAATCCATACCCTCAACCTGGTGTGGTACCTTAGGATAAGCATTGGACAACTGGAAGTTTGTTGGTTCAAACCCACCAGCTGCTCCTTGGAAATTCTATATAGGATCCCTATGGGTGAGAACCGACCAAAAAGTACTTAACAACAACATACCTTAGTCCTAATTATTTATTTGGAAGAAATCAACATCTTATTTGAAGTCTGGAGATAAAGATAAGAGGAATGCTTACTTAGAGTAATTATTATTATTTAACAAATGTATATAGTTTTCCACATGGACCAGACTCTGCTCTAACCACTTTGTAAATATTAACAGAACAGGGCAAGGAAGAGCTGCAGGTTTCCCCAGAACAGATGAAGGCACTGGAAGTGAGCAGGGGACGATGCTAAAATAATAGGAAAGCAGAAGCTGGGATAGGGCCTAGAAAGACTTGTTACTTGAGTATGAGACAGTTACCTGACTCATGGTGACCCCCACCCTGGATGTGTCAGAGCAGAACTGTGCTCCAAGAAGGATTTCAGTGGTTGATGTGGGGGAAGCAGGTCACCAAGTCTTTCTTTCAAGGAAGTTCTGGGTGTACTCTAATCTCTCAGTAAGCACTGGAGGGAGCTACTGTTGGACCACCCAGGGATTCCTTGCTCACTTAGGGCCCTTCGTAAACAGAATTCTGAGCCTTAGGAATAAGGCTTGGCAATGCTACCACGCAGTCTTGTCTTCAGCAGCTCTTAATAAGGTCTCTGGGTGTGGGAGAACTTGGCCTTAATGGTATTGCTTTTACTTAGAGGCCAACTCTAGGGAGAGCAGACTGCAACATGTGTTTTGTTTTTAATCCTAGTTGGTTTCTTAATAAAGGAAAAGTCAATAAACAGTGTTGAAGGACTGGCTAAAAATAGTTATCCACATACAGCTGCAGCAGTGAGGGCACAGAGACAGGGCAAAGGAGTCACAGCAAACTCAAAACTACGGGTAGAGTGAGTTTACACCAGTGGAACCCCAAAGAGACTTCATTTATAGCCTTAGGGTAAAATTGCTTCTGATATTTACAACCAGCTATCTTTCTGGAGTCCTGGTGTGGCGCTGTGGGTTAACGCACTGGACTCAAAGTTGGTTTGAACTGCAAGATTGGCGGTTCAAGCTCACCAGTCACTATGGGAGTCCTGGTGTGGCACTGTACGATAAGCACTGGACTGCAAGGTTGGTTTGAACTGCAAAGTCAGTGACTCAAACTTACCAGCCGCTCCTTGGAAACCCTATACAAGGTTGCTATGCGTCAGAACTGACTTGGTGGCACATAACAACAACATTGGCTCTTTCAGTTCCAGTATTTCTGTTTGTTTTCTCTGGAGAGCATTTATCGTAATTTTTTTTTTTTTTTTAAGGAGGCTTGTTGGTGCCATGAGTTAAATATTGAACTGCTAACTACAAGGTCAGTGGCACATAACAACAACATTGACTCTTTCAGTTCCAGTATTTCTGTTTGTTTTCTCTGGAGAGCATTTATCGTAATTTTTTTTTTTTTTTTAAGGAGGCTTGTTGGTGCCATGAGTTAAATATTGAACTGCTAACTACAAGGTCAGTGGTTCAAAGCCACCAGCCGCTTCTGGGGACACAGATGAGGCTATTTATTCCCCTAAAGATCTACAGCAGTTAGTTCTACTATGACCTACAGGGGTCTCTGTGAGTCCGAATGGACTTCATGGCAGTGGGTATTTCTTTTTTAAAAATCCTAGTTTTATTCATGCATCATTTTCCTAATTTCCTTTAGCTGTTTTCCTTTAGTTCTCTGAATATATTTACTGTCCGATGCATTGTTCTAGGAATTTCATCATTTCAAGCAAAAATAATACAATGATGATATTTAACAACCTCAACTGCATAAATTGCTTGATGATAAATAGTCAATATATGATTATCTGTCAAAAAGCATGCTCCCTCTTTAGAATATCGGAGGATGACACTGAAGGGCAGAGATGCAGCTCTGGCCAAGGTCCTACACCCTCTGGAGCTCATTTGCCTCCCCTAGGCCAGAGGGCTGCTTCCCGGCGCTTTTTTTCGAGGGATGGAAGGCACATAAACAGATGTGGGTGCCACTGTTCTATTGGGTTCCCTGTCTGGTGTTATCAGGCACCTGTTGGCTATTATGGAAACGCAAATAGTAAATACCATTTGATATACACACACACACTTGTCCATGCACCCGTCACCACTTTCATTCTCCATACCATACTCTACTTAACATTTATTTTTAGTTCACGTTTTTGTTGTTAAGTACCATCCAGTTGATTCCGACTCATAGTGACCCTGCATAGGGTTTCCGAGTAGTGGCTGGTGGGTTTGAACCACCAACTCATTAGCAGTTCAGCGCTTATCCTATCAGGACTGCTTTAGTTCATATAACCACCTAAAAATTATGTATTTCTTTGTTTGTTTATCTAATTTCTATTGGCCCCCATAGAGCTGGGATTTTTTTTTTTTT